CTGAGTTTTTGCAATATGTATGAGCTAATTAAAAGCATTATAAGTTGTGCATAAGATTTCAATAAACTGAGACTTGCTGACCATGATAGCATGAGGCTTGTCTTCCGCGGCTCCGGTAATCCCCGACCTCTGGCGACATCTGGCGCCCGAACAGCCTTTCCCTTTCCTCCTTAGAGCTGCGTTGGGGACGGGTCCCTTGGACGGCGATAGCTCGCCCTGAGCGCCACATCGGTGGGCTCTGCCGCTACGTGCTGCCGACGCCTGGGGGGTTGCAACGGTACCGGTGAGTATGGACAGGCAAGCGGTGTATGATCTTTTTGCCGCCTTCTTGAGAAAGCGGGGCATCAAGGGTCTAGATTTAGATAAGGATTTTCCTCTCCTGTTAACCCATGCTGTTTCTTATGAGTTTTTTACTAACCCTCACTCAGTCCACAAGCTACATGAGTGGCGTAGATATGGTGATCGCTTATGGGAGTTAGTTTTAGAAGATGACAAAGTAGCAAAAAAGATGAGTAAGTTATGGAAGGTGGTGCAGAATGAGTTATTAATGTGTCAGGCGGAAAAGCGAGCTGCCGATAATGCCCGCGTGGCGCAGGATCACAATAAGGCTTACATCGATCCCTCAGCTCCAAATCCACCGATATTTGCTTCTGTTGATCTGCCCCCGCCAGATCCTAGGGAGTCTACCACTCCATCTGCACCCCCTGTCCCCTCGGATCACTCACCGCTTCCGCCGCCCCCCTCTACAAGTACGTTATCTAACGCTGCAGCCACGGAGCCGTTCCCCGGGTCCTTATCAGATCTCGCGGAGGCTATGGCACAGGGTCGGCGTGAAGCATGGGCGGCGCTGGCGAGGCAGGGTCTGCAAGAGGGAGATACAGAATTGGCGGCAGCAGCTCAGGAGCAAATAGCCTCCCCGCTTGCTTTTCCCGTGATATTTCACCCTTTGCAGGGGGGGGGCCAAAAAGCTGAAGTTACGCAGCTTGATTGGAAACTTTTGTCTCAATTAAGATCAGCGGTGGCACAATTTGGAGTCACTAGTGAGCCCGCGAAACGAATGATCGAGTACCTCTTTAATTCAGCTGTCCTGCTGCCCGCTGACATTAGAGGCATGTCTCGCCTCATTTATACCCCTCATCAAAGGCTTATGTTTGAAACCCGGTGGAGGGAGGAAGCAGCCGCAAGCGCTGCACTTCCTCGGCCTGCCGGTGACCCTCTCGCAGGCATCACTCTGGATGAACTTATGGGCAATGGAGCCCACATTCGTTTAGAACAACAGGCGGCCTTGGGGGGGAAAAGCTGAGAGAGGCTATGGCAGTTGCAAAAAGAGCTATGGATAAGATCAGGGCACCTGGGGGTATTCCCATGTATATGGGGATTAAGCAAGGTAGAGATGAAGCCCTAGGCTCCTTTGTGGACAAAATTATTGAAGCTCTGGCCAAAGCAGGTATAGCTGAGCATATGCAAGATGCGTTAGTAAAGCAGTGCATATTACAAAATGGAAATGCTACAACTCGATCCATAATAGCCACAGCACCAGGACATTGGAATGTCCAAGATTTGTTAGATAAGGCTGCAGCCATGCCAAGTGGCACTCAGGTGTTCATGGTAGAAGCTCTGCAGAAGATAGGAGAAGGACTGCAGCACCAGGCACAAGCTTTTAAGGAGCAAACTTTAGCAGCCCAGAGTCAGGTTTTAGCTGCCCTTGCACCCCTCCAAGCGACGATAGTGCAACGGCGCCCCGGTGCGGGGGGAAGAATGAAGTGCTTCAGATGTGGACGAATGGGACACATCCGCCATGAATGCAATGCATCGGGAGTCTGGTGCGGAAAATGTCAATCCAGCACTCACAATAACACTGCCTGTTGTCGTGGGTCGGGAAACTCGAGAGCCAGCGCGAAACCGGGCCGCGCGGAGACACAAGTAGCCCCTGCCTCCGACAGCCGAGCGATCAACTTCTGCCAGCAACCTCCGGCAGCCTCGGATTGGACCTGGCAGCAGCAGTAGACACCACACTCTACAATAATGCTCCACATACTATTCCTACCGGCATTCATGGACCACTGATTATTAATGGACAGCCAACTGGGGGACTGATTTTAGGCCGCTCCTCAGGGTCCGTTCTAGGCCTTTCCATCGAACCAGGGGTAGTTGATGCTGATACTGAAGGAGAACTTTTCATCATTGTTAGTACCCAGTTCCCTCCGCTTACCATTCCAAAAGGGCAAAGAATTGCGCAGTTTGTGCCTTTACCACACTTGACTGTTAACATACCGCCTCGATCCACTGAACCATGTCGGACAAAATGTCTTGGTTCTTCAGGGAGCATTGCTCTGCCTGTCATTGACCTCGCCACATGACCAAAGAAAGCCTGCCATCTCCGTTATCAAGGGCAGACCATTACCCTTGAAAAGGCCCTGCTAGATACTGGGGCAGATACTTGTATTATTGACACTAATAAATATCCTAAAATGTGGCCCCTTCTATCAGCCAATACTACAGTCTCCGGTATAGGAGGAATCCGACTTGCTAAACGTTCCCCATTGATCACCGCAGAAACTGAAGGAAAACAGGCAACAACAATTTTTTCACTGACCCCGCTCCCACCGGAGGTCGATTGCATTATTGGAAGAGACATTTTGTCGCAATTAGGGTATGTACTCACAGATTCCCCTTTATCATAACGGCCATTGCTTGGACATTCCCTCTACCATTAACATGGATCTCTGATACACCTGTGGTAGTTAAGCAATGGCCCTTAAAAAGGGAAAATCTTGAACAAGCGCATCGCTTAGTAGCGGAACAACTGCAACTAAAACATCTCAAACCTTCTACAAGTCCCTGGAACACGCCTGTTTTTGTCATTAAGAAAAAGTCTGGCAACTACCGTTTATTACAGGACTTGCGTGCAGTTAACCAGCAGATGGAGCCCATGGGAGCCTTACAACCTGGTCTCCCTAACCCAGCCATGATACCCCAAGATTGGCTTATTCTTATTGTAGACCTGAAAGACTGTTTTTTCACAATACCCTTGCACCCCCAAGACACAAAAAGGTTTACATTTACCTTACTTTCCTTAAATAGAGGAGAACCAGACAAGCGATTTGAATGGACAACGTTACCCCAAGGCATGCGAAATTCACCCACTTTGTGTCAGCTGTACGTTGATACAGCATTGCAGCCTATTAGGCAATCAATGCCAGACACTATCATTTATCATTACATGGATGATATACTATTTGCTCAGAAATCTCCATTTACGACAGAACAAGTGCGTGCTGTTATCACTCTGTTGCAGAAATATGGTCTCAAAGTCTCTGAAGAAAAACTTCAAGTGCAGCCGCCGTGGAAATACCTAGGATGGACTATTAGCGAAAGGCAAGTAAGGCCGCAAAAGCTCACTATTCAAGATGTACCAACCACTCTTCATGAAGCACAAAAATTACTAGGTGATCTCCAGTGGCTTAAACCAATCGTTGGTATCCCTAACACGCTGTTAGACACCTTGCGACCACTGCTAAAGGGCACAGATCCTTGCGCTCCAGTGACACTAACACCACCCCAGCTTGCCGCTCTGCAAGACGGGTATCTCTACCGGATTTGTCAGCCGTTACGATCCAGCTTACCCAGTCAGCCTCACTATTTGGAATAGCAGAGATCACCTTCTGGGAGCTATAATCCAGCTAAAGAAAGCGGGGGAGACAAGGGTTTTAGAATGGCTTAGCCCTCAGTTGCAACAAAGAAAAACAATAACCCAAAAAATCGAACGGCTTGCGGCCTTAATCATTAAAGGCAGGTTGCGCACGATTGAATTGAGTGGAAGAGAACCTGCAATTATTCAGTTACCTATGGAAAAAGCAACTCTTGATTGGTTTCTCCTCAATTCGCCAGACCTTACGGAAGCACTTTTACAAGCTCCTAGTTGCATCACCACAGGACCGTTAGCTCCTAAAGTCCTGCATTGGCTTGGGGAGTGGCAATGGATCACCAGGCCATTAAGAGAAAATCAACCCATTCAAGACGCAATTACAGTTTTTACCGATGCAGGAAAGCGTTCCAGAAAAGCCGCAGTCACTTGGAATAGAGGCGGCCAATGGTACCATCACATTATTTTAGCAACCTTGCACGATAATCTGCAAACCCTAGAACTTTTAGCTGTCATATGGGCATTCCAGAAATTTCAAGAGCCTGTCAATGTAGTCTCTGATTCAATGTATGTCGTTGGAGTGGCATCGAGAATTGAAGATGCAAGTGTCAAAGAAGTAACCAACCCTCGATTGGCCGAACTGTTTATGCAACTGCAGTGAACTTTACAAGCCCAAAAGTACCCCTACTCCATCATCCATGTTCGTAGCCATAAATGGGAAGAAGGTCTTGGAGAAGGAAATGCCAGAGAGCTGATAAATTAGTAATGGTGCAGCAGCAAAACATCCTTCCACGCACTATAGCAGCGAAAGAAAGTCATAATATCTTCCATCAGAATGCAAAAGGACTGGCCCGCGAGTTCCAGTTACCACTCAGCAAGGCACGAGCCATTGTGAAAACTTGCCCTATCTGCAGTCACCATAATGGGGGCATAGGACTTAGCATGGGAGTTAATCCAAAGGGACTGTTGCCCAATGAACTGTGGCAAGTGGATGTTACTCATGTGCCATCATTCGGCAGGCTGAAATATATTCATGTAACTATTGACACCTATAGTCATTATATTTGGGCTACAGCTCAGCCTGGAGAGCAAGCTAAGCATGTTGAGAAACATCTAAACAGTTGTATTGCTATAATGGGCGTCCCCAGGAACATAAAGACAGATAACGGGTCAGCATATTGCAGCCAGAAATTCAGAAGGTTAATGGACTTTTGGAATATCGAACACACCAGAGGTATTCCACATGTCTCTACAGGGCAAGCAATTGTAGAAAGAGCCAATGGGACCTTGAAGCGTTATTTAGAAAAATACACAGATATCAAGAGCCCCACAGAGAGACTGCTAAGAAGCCTGTTTGTTTTAAACCACTTATGTCTGTTTGGAAATAGAGACACGCCCCCCGTTATTGTACATTTTCAGAGAGATCCATTGCCCTCGCCCCCTATATTTGTTAAATATAAGGATCCCAAGACTGGCATTTGGCAAAATCCTGCCCAAGTCCTTTACTGGGGGCGGGGCTATGTGTGTGTTTCCACCCCTACAGGTCCACAGTGGATACCCGGGAGGTGGACACGTGCTGCCATACCCGATGAGCAGCCCGGTGAGCAGCCCGGACAGGAGAAGGCAACTCCGGCTTCAGAAGGCGATTGCACCTCTCCTGCTGCAGATTGAGGAAAGATTCGGCACCCGGATTCTGTTTGAGTCGGAACGGGAGATAGAAGACTCTGTGCTCCCAGCTCTGAATAATCATTATTTACACTATCTCCCCAGGCATTGCCTTCATTGTTACTCAGTTGAACACATTGTGTGGGTTAAACTGAGGTGTGGCGGGTGTGAAAAGACTCTTTGGTTGTCACAGCGTGCGCTGCACAAGGGTATTGGTGCCTTGTTTGCTCTTTTGAGTGGCAGAGGGCCTCCCCCCAGAGAGCATTAGTTGACTTAGTGGGAGAACCATTTGGAACCGCGGTCCAAAAGATTGAGAACAGGGAGGATTTACATCTCAGGGAGCTGGTTTGGAGAGTGAGACACACAGTAGACCGTGTCATCGCAGATAGCAACTCTGCAATTCTTGATACTGTTTGTGGAAAAGATATTCGGATCCCGACAAATTGGCAAGTTTCTCCAGATCGTTGGGATCATACCTGCCGTCGTTTTGATCGACGTTGCAGGCCCCATCAAAAAAGCCACTGATCAAATGTGGCAATCTTTTAGACGACAGAACAATATTATATGGCTTTTGCTTGTGCTTGCAACGCTACCATTGATTAATTGTGTTTATGTACCAGCACAACCCAAAGAAAATATTTGGGTTACGCTAGCTAACAAAACTGGCCAAGAAGCAATATGTTTAGCCCTAAGCTCCCCAGGCAATCCTTTTTCCACCTGTCTTGTAGGCATTCCTCTAGATAATTGGCCTTGTCCATCATCAGCACACAACTGTAACTCCACTAATCCCCAGGGCAATGTAGATCAGTGGGACCAAATTATGCCCCATTTTCCTACATTAGCAATTGAGCCTCAAGAGCTTGAGATTTTAGGATCCATATTAGCAGATGCTTGTTTAAGGTTTAATTGGACAAGTGTTTCCCGAGGAGTAGGACCTAATAAGTCATTGCCCATTAATGTTAACTCATCTCTGTCGATATATAGAAATAACTCAGCATGGTGTAATTACACCACGCAGAACATCTCAAGATCCTCTAACACGCCTATCAGGCTGCCAGACGGTGTGTTTCTAATATGTGGAGATCGAGCCTGGGCAGGGATCCCTTCACGAATGGAAGGCGGCCCATGCACGCTAGGCCGATTGACTCTCTTAACACCCAATACATCAATGATCCTGCACTGACACCAAAATCATAGAGAGAGAAGGTTTGCTCATGCCTTTGCCAAGGATTGTGATGATAATGCAGACTTTTGGAGCCCAGTGCAGACAGTTTTCGGGTCCCTTGTCCCTGGTATTGGGACCGCACAAGCCTTGAGGACATTGAGGAAAATGGGATGTTGGCTTGCAAGACAAACTAATGCCACATCGCAAGCTTTGTCCAATCTTTTGCTAGATGTAGATTCAATTAGAAATGCTACGCTTCAAAATAGAGCTGCTATTGATTCTTTGTTGTTAGCGCAAGGACACGGTTGCGATGAATTTGAAGGAATGTGTTGTATGAATTTATCGGATCATTCTGTTTCTATACATGCACAAATTAAGAAGTTGCAAGATTTGACTACACATTTGAGGGTACAAGAAGGATTGGGAATAGATGGATGGTTGCAGTCCCTAGGCATAACGGGGTGGTTGAAAAATTTAGTACAGACGGGGTTAGTCATTCTTTTTGTAATTTTGGCCATCATGATTATCTTACCTTGTTTAATGCAATGTTTGCAGCGCACGGTAATGACAATGTTTGAAAACCACCGATTGTCTATGCTGACCATTAAAGAAAACGGGGGAAGTGTTGAGAGCCTGACAGAAGAATGGCTAAGAGAGAAAGGACATGATACTGTAAGATTAGTTAAAGTATGAGGCCTCAGGGTCAGTATGTCCTGGAAGAGAGAGTTACATAGATAACAAGATGTG